ACAAGAGCTGAAGTTTTGGTTTGAATCCAGGAAGAGCCCCGAAACACATATATGTCCAGATATAACAGAATAAACAGATTGTATGGTTTTCAGCTCCAATGACTGAACCAATGGGAATGGTAAATGGACTTGAGCTTGTAAAGCGCTTTTCTAGTCTTCTGACTACTCAAAGCACTTTCACACATCATGTCACACCTACACATTCACACACTGATGGTAGTGATCACTATGTAGTATCATCCATCAGAAGTAACTAATCCCATTCATACACCACCAATGAAGCAGAGGGAGCAATTCAGGGTTAAGTGTCTTGCCCAAGGACACATCGGACATGTTGCCCAGCTGGGGATCGAACCCTCTCCGGTTGAGAGGCAACGACTTTACCAACTGAGCCACAACCCATTTGTCATTGTTAAATGTGATCTGAAATTACAAACATTACCACAAATGTTATCTATATTGATTGAAATTGGGATAAAGAAAATATCTGTAAAGGATTGTTCTGTATTTTTTACAGTATTTCTGTAGAACTTTTATAACCCCGATAATGTCCCGGGTCAGTTTGACCCAAATAGTACCAAAGGGTCCAAAAAAGTGAACATACCAAAAGGGTTAGTTAAATTCCTGTAATTTTTGGAGTGTTTTGGCGAGACAACACAGACAAACGGGGCAGCCTCTGTGCCACCAGACTGAGCACAGCTTGCATAACATTCACAGACTTGTTGATAAATCAGATTTCACTCTGAAGTATAACTGTGAGGTTTAGAGTAAAGGCAGCTTGTGGCATGGCAGCTAGACTCCCCTACAGATCTGTGTGGCTAACATAGCTGACATAGTTGCTGCTCAGATGTGTGGTAACCCTTGGACACTTATCCTGGGTCAGAAGAGGTTAAGGTAGGTCCTGGGGAGATGTGTGTTTACTGATTCGAGTGAATTTGGAGCCGTTTTAACTTCCCAGAAATCCTCCTAGAGTCAGTGAGATGTATTCCGGCAGAGGTTGATCCAAAGGCTGTCCCACCCTTTAACAAAAATCTTTGTTTAAAAAAAAAAAAACGTGCACACACACACACACACACACACTACCGTTGGGGGAGGATTTGTGCTGTCATCTGTTTTCCTTCAAAGTCCCTGAAACCAGTGTGTCAGACACAACATTAGGCCATAGTAAGAGGGCTGAAATCCAGATGAGGTTAAGCCAAAGTCCAAACTGTTTTATTTTTGTGTGTGTGTGTGTCATTGTGAAATGCTGACACAAACAGATTCAGATTTGTCTGTTTTACCACACAGTTAGGGCTGAAAAGGTGTCTTTGTTCCTGGATAATAAAGTCTAATTATACAGACTAGTTGAAGATTTAAATTGTCCAGTTTAAGTTTATGACTGAATATTAAAAAAATACACTTTTTCTGTACATCTCCTTCATTCAAACATCCCGGCTTGTCTCCACAGCTGTCTCCCTGAAGGAAATAAACTTACTTCTTAGAACACCTTACTGTAACTTCACTTCTCTGAGCTGGATATATTTTCTCCCTGAGTTTCTTCCTTACTCAAGTTTATATATCCTGCGATCCTTGTTGGAAAGTCAAATCTCTGTTCTCTGCATTACTGGTTACGTTGTTTTGACTGAAACTTTTAGACGCTCTGCACAAGCTTCTCCTCAACTTACGGAAGCCCGGCCTCCATCAGTTTTATTGCAACTTCATTGGAAGTTAAAATTAAGTTTAGAAGCTCAGGTCTGTAGGCGGGACTTGGGTTGGAAACCGGAGGGTTGCCGGTTCAAGTCCCGGTGCGGACTATGTCTGGGAATTGGTCAGGTAGCTGGAGAGATGCCAGTTCACATCTTGAGCACTGCTGAGATGCCCTTGAGCAAGGCACCGACCCTCCCACCAGCTCAGGAGCGCTCACTGTGTGCATTACTATAGGATCATGTTTGTGCACATGTGTGTGTAGTATGTCTCAGTAACAGAGTGTAAAATTGAATTTCCCCTATATGTTAAAATAAAGTACATCTTCTTCTTTTTCTCATCCATCCTTTGTCCTTAGCCTTGCTGATGCACTTAAACATGAAAGCTGTTTGTGTCCAACAGAGTTTAGGGCAAGCAGAGGAAGGGTGTCAACATTTTTGAAGTTCAAGTGGAGTTTTCCAGATGTTTTGCAACGGATGTTAGTTCATTCTTCTTAAGTCCGAGATAGTCTCTGTGTGAACAAGATATCTCTGTCTATCGATCAGGCAGGAGAAAACACACACAATGAAGCATATGCAGACAAACAGAACATGGGGGGTAAACAATCAGAACTTTTCATTGTTTAAGAAGTGAAGGAGTCACTTTTAGCAGGAAAATAAGCAGCATATGCGAATACTGTTTATATTTCATGATGTTTTACACTGATTTTGTACATGGATTCACACAAACCTTAAAGAGGACAAGGCTGACTACAATGTTGATTTATCTGTGAGTTTTCACATCTGCCAGTTAACTCTCAGCGAGCTTCTCACTATCATTTTCTTTCCTGTACAGCTTCCTAAGCCTCCCTCTGAAACAGCTCTGCTGATGTAATGTTTGTCTCTGTCCACTGTTGGCAAGAGAGGAGGAGCAGGACCTTTCCTCTCATTTCTATCCTGTTTGGCCGAAAGCTATCAGAGTATTATTTCAGATGGTCAGCCTTATGCACACTGTTCATGTTTATGGCTGTTTGTTCTTAATACATGTGCAGGATCCCCATTGAAATATGTGTGAAAGAAACTGCATAATACAGCCTGAATTTTCTTAAGATGTCATGAAGTTTTCATGTTCCCTCGTCCTATTTTAATAAATGTGAAAACACTAAGTGTGCGCCATCAAATCAAGAATGTCTGAGATAAGACAGGGAGGTGTAGAGCTGCCCCGATTCCCCGCAGTTATCCAAACAATGTGACGGAGATGCCTGTGGATCACAAGCACTGCACCTGTAAGACAATCCGGAGCAGATGTGATCTTTTCTCTCTGACTGTGAGAAAATGATCAGACTTTGTGCTCATGGAATACCCAGCGTTTGAACAATATTCTCACAGACGTAAAAAATCTGGAATAAAAGCAAGAGACCTTCTGATGACATTGATGAAGACTTAGGTTTTACTTTTAGGATCAAACATGTAAACAGTCCTACCCCTCAGTTTTTATTTTCTTAGTTTCCTTCATGTACAAAAGCCCGGCCAAACAGGGTATTCAAGTTGATGTATTACATAGAAGCCTTGCAAGATATTTTCAAAATACAGTTGTGCAAAGTCTCTATTCCTTTGTGTTTCATTGTAAAGTCAAACACAAGCAAAAGTTGATACCATCTTTGGCAGGAGTGAAAATTTTTGGCATGACCGGATGAACCTTTTGGGGTATCCTGTTATCTTTGGGTGTCCTAGAAACAGTGCAGCACAACACAACACATTAAATATGTTGTTGTAAAAGTGAAGTGAAATAACTTTCATTTGAAGATCACTTATTCTGCAAGTCAATCGCAATCCGCGTAATATATATATTTGTTCCATTATATGCTTTTTACGACCAATTTAAAAGCAAGAAAGAATAAAAAGATAGGCTATATGAATGCAGACACATTTAAACGTACTTGTAATAAAAATATTAATTGTAAATATAATATTGTTACATCAATAAAAGTTACATTATAATGTATCATACACCAAACCTTTTATAGTGTCCACAACATGATATAAATAAGTTACAAATACCTTTGAACCCTCTACCAGACAGAATTATAAAACACCCTTTAGATGTTTTCAAAGAGGTTCAGATAGTACTGTAGTGGTGCCTAAAGAAGTTGTTCAACTCTTGATTTTTTTCCCCCAAATATATCTTTAAAGTGGAGTATAAACAGTGAGTACTCTTGCATATTTAGTCAGTGCGTACTAGCCAATTGGAGGCCAAGTAGGGAGGGTCATCCCTTCACCATACAAGGGAAAAAATGGCAGCATACTTGAATATGGTCAGTCAATCAATGGTGGGAATCAGAGGAGATTCAGAAGGGTATATACCCCATGGAGACTGAAGAGCTTATACCTTTCACTACACTACTGGATTTAGGGGACCCTGGAGGAGGGCCAGTGTTTTTGGAGCAGTTAAAGGCTATATATAGTCAGTTGTTTTTTTTTTGTCTTGGACGTGATTGGGTTAAATGTTAGATGTTAAGGAAATGGTACCTCCATTTGAAAAAAAGCATTAACATGTCCAATGACACAACTCTACCCTTCAGTGACCTTTCCTAGCTGTCCATTGTGTTCTCATCGCCTTGGCAACCCTCCATAAGTTGAAGTACTGTACGTCCTTGACTTTTGCCGGACCATTGTCCACACAGAAAGGAACATAATTTATTTCACTCATTGTTGTCACCTGTTCAAACTATTACCTCCAATCAGTGCTGTCATCTCCTTTTTCCTGTCATGATAAAGCAGACGATGCCTCTGGAACAATCCTACCACCATAACACAGAGGAGCACACAAACACTTGACCAGCAGCCAAAGGGTGGGGACTACCCATAATGCTTTTCGTGTCTCCATGTACGTACAGAGGGCCAGTGTATGCAGCAATGGGAAATGTTCAAGGGGGAACATTTCCTCGCTGACCTCCCTACATGATGCTCTTTATACTTCTAAAAAGAGTTCACATTCCTCAAGGAGCCCCTGCCAACACACATCATACATCATCACAACGGCTGAGAGGTGACCTTTTGACCCTTGAGTAGGGACTATGTTTGAAGATTTTGTTTTTTGGCCAAAATAAGGAAGGTTGAAAGAAGTGCACAAGCAAAAGCTGTAAAAAGTGATTGCTGAGATATCCACTAAGCAAGGGGGGAAAAAAACATTAAAGCCAGGAAATAAGCTTGACAGATTGGCTGGTATGTTCCCATTAGAGCACTTTTCCTTAAATAGCAGACCTCGGCATGCCCGAGTAAAAGTAATGCTTTTGAGAATGCCTGACAAGATGTACAAAAAAAGTCTCAGAGACACCATTTTGACAAAGTTAAATTTTATTCAAATCAACCACAACAATTCCAAATGAACCCGAATGTGTCATGTTGGAGAACAAGGGCACAAAAAATTTAAATTTTGGCAACACGGGGAAGATAAAGAAAGAAAAAAAAAAAAGAGCAGAACACGCCTTGACTCTTGATATTAAACGCTCATTGAACTGAGCCTGTCATCCAGCAATGCATCTAAAGAGAGGGCTGTAGGGGCGCACATCATGCCTCCTTGACGTACGTCCTCATTGCCACCACGTCTCCCATGATGCATTTCTGTGGAGCAAGAAGGACAGGAAGTGCAAACATAAGGTTAAAATAAATCGAAATATGTTGAAGAATTCTGCCTTTTGTTTACTTATCTCTCTTTTACCTTCTCTTTCTATAGTTAATCTGTAGTAAAATCCCATTCCCTTCTAGGTGTGTCTGCAAAGAGCTGAGTGGATTATCATCTATTGGATTTTTATAATTGTTTATAACATATCTGCACACTTTGGAAGAACACATTAGGGGGATGCCTTGTATTTATAGTGCTGAATTATATAGTTTCCACTTTTTGTATAACATTTATTTACCACTAGATGCAAGTTTCTCAAGCAGAATGTGGGTTTAAATGTTTACAAAAAATACTTTTAAATGTATCCATTGTGTAGGCCTACATATTACATTTATTAAAACTTGATTACAATAACACTGTTGTAATTCCCTGTGCAAGATGCAAGGATACAAGGAGTGATGAAGTGTCTATATTAATAATTGTATAAACTAGTTATAGGTTTCTGACCAGAGTTGCTTAGTTAATACCAAGTCAGCATGCTATTTTCCTCATTTAAAAAGAAAAGTCAGACATAATTTTCTTACCGCTATTAATTTCCCGTCTGTGATCTCTCTCTCGATATTCGTTTCTTTGCCATCCCAGCATTGTTTCTGCACCAGCTTACCATTGTCCAGAGTCACCACGGTCTGCAATGCACACAACACAGACAAGCTTTTAACTCCAGCACAGAAATGTTAAGAGAAGATGAAATGTGTGTGTGTGTGTGTGTGTGTGTGTGTGTGTGTGTGTGTGTGTGTGTGTGTGTGGGGGGGGGGGGGTTCTCTCATCAGAGAACTTTAACTAACCTTCGTCTTCCTGTCGTCAGCAGTAGTCTCCTCAAACGGCTCGTTCAGCTTAAACCTGATTTCGGTCGTTTTGAAGGTGCTCTGAGACTTAATGCAAACCGTCCCATCATCGTCCACGGTCACTATCAGATTGGGTTTGGTCCTGTTTCCCACCTGCCGGGTCGCAAATCCCACACCTGTGCAGAAACGTCATCAAAATGTAATGTAAAAAACATTTAGACGAATATGATCAAATCACCATTTATATTAAATATTTCCACTAGACACTGTACAATTCAAAAACGCTATAAATAACTAGAACACACTATTAGTGTCTTTAAAAACGTTAGTATGCGTAAACATCAGTTTAATCAAGATAACAATATTTAATAATAAAGAATAATTTGCCTACCAATTGCTTTCATGTATTCGTCAAAGTTCTCGCTGGCAACCATCTTCCACGTCCCGACAAACTTCTCAACCATTTTTGCAGTTGATTTTTTTTAGACGTGATATCCTCAACAACGACCTGTGGACAGACTCTGGACTCAAACCCGCCTAGAGTGTGGGAACAGCGTCGGAGCGTTTTTAAAGGGTCACCGCGACATCCAGCAACGCAGCAGGAGCCAATCACAGACAGCTGCGTCACACAACAGCTCATTGAAGTCCCGCCTCCAGCCTCCCTATAGCTACTATCTGTAGCCTAACTACATTTTTTGTTGCTCATAAAAAGTGCTTTCCAAACGTTTTTCTTTTGTCTATAAAATTGCAAGATATTTATTTTTTGTTTTGATTGTATTTTTTTTTGGCTTTATAGGTATCTATTACTTCAATGTGTTGGACATTTTTCAAAATAGTGTCAGTAAACCAAGGCAGACAATGGTTATTTTGTTATCATGCCTATCATTACACAAATAAAATACCCCAGTAGGCTAGTCTTACTGCCAGCTGAAAACTTCCAGAGGCATGATGGGTGAACGCTTACCCCTATTTAATTTACTGAACGTATTCCCCTGCTTTAGTTAACAATGCCAGTGCTAAATGTAAAAAACAAAAAAAACTACAAGCCAAGAGACATTTGGGTTGCCCAGTAGGTAAAGAATAAGATGGTTTTAACTTCTGTTTTCTCTCAATATGAGCTGCAGGCAGGCTAGATTAAAAAATAAATGTGCCATTAATTGTCATTTTCAACTTTTGTCTAGTTTATAAAATCACTTTTAAATCTCTTTTGATGATTTCAAGATTACTTGTACAGACTTAATGGCTTATTAAGATGTAAGAAGCAAGATAGGCTGAAATAATGGATTAAGAAAATTAACGACCTTATTATTAGTGGTATGAAATCATTTATAGCTATTTAGCTATTACCAGATTTATTAAGAATCAATTAGTTGTAAGCAGCAAAGAAGACATGCAAGTGAAGTAAGTAAAGGTTTAAAAAAAAACATCAGGAACACAGTGTCTATGGAGAAAATCATTTAAGTTCCAGATGCTTATGTACAGAGTGTTGCTAACAGAGGAAACAGGAATTCAGTTAAGTGTGACTGGTTGTAAAGGGCTTTTTTTTTCTTCTTTTTTTTAAGTGGAGCTAAAACTCTGTGCCAAATTACATCTGAGGCCGCTGTGTCAAAGGTTGGAGCTTGCATAATGTCCTCTCAAACACTGGATGCTCTCTGTTATCAGGAAGAAGAAAAAAAGGTACATTATGAAAGAACACATCATGGCTCTGCACTGATCCCAGCTGATGGGGGTAACGTCTTTTCTAATTAATCCGACTTAACAAGAGGGTGTGATTTTTTTTTACAGTTTGATGGTGGAAGAGTGTGTTGACAGCCAGGAACATCTGCTGAGATTGAATCATGACATGGATGATGAATTCAGAATCAGGGATGTAAAGAGGAGTTTCAGCAAATGACTCAATATCATCCCTGTCCCAATTATGTCAAACCACAATCAATGCAGAATTCAAAGGGCAATTTACACCAGAACCATCGCATTCATGTGAAATACTTTTATTATAAACCTCAAACAAAATACTTTAAACGTTCAGAGAAATTCAACACAGACATATTTGTGGTAAGATTAACGTTATTTTTTGGCTGCAGTTTTGGCCTGTGGATCCTTGGCCGTGCATAGGGACTGAAACGTGTTAAGCATCTCACTGCTGGTCAGCTTAGCTCCCTTCATCAGCAGCCTCTCTCCATCTACTGTAGTAGAGAAAAAAACAAAGACACAATCTCATGACGACACAATGCCGACAAGGTGAAAAGTTACTCTGAGCAAAATTGAGGAAGCACACAGTGGAAAACATCTGCTGACCTATGGCAGACATTTTCACTTTTGGTAACCACTTGAGTCATTGAGTGTGACTTTAGGTGCATTATCATCATCCAGTAACAACATCAGCATAGGATTACAAGATTTATGAGTCGTACATACTGTCGAACAGTCCTTTCTGGGCCAAAGGGAAACTTGTCTCTACATCCAAGAAAAACCTGATGCTGGACTTACAATGCAACTTGCTCTTTCCCAATTCCACCAACCAGTACACCACAGTGGTTTCACTGGGTCAAATACCTCTTACTCAGTATCATCCGGTTATGAACAAAAATATCTCATTGGATTTTTAAGAGACAGAGCCAACTTAGACCTACTGCAATATTTTTTTTTAAAAGAGGTCAGAATGTTGTCTGCAAGCACTTGCTCAAGACAAAATCTGAGTTCAATCAAGGGTCACAATAATGTTAATGTGTTCTTCATTTTGTTGCCTTCAGTTGTTACTTTTAGTTACTTATAACTCTGTTTCTCCATCATAACTTCCTGATTGTGTCACTGTGAAAACATTTCCTTTAATTTCATCTTCTTGAGATGTTTCCAGGAGAAATATTCAACATTCTTCCTTTGATAAAAACTAACCATATTAAGTGAGACATTTACATTTGACATGGTATAAATGGTAAGTGAAAACTAGCCATGAGGATTGAGAGGTTCACACAGTTGAGTAAACAACACACGTTGTCCCTATTTGGATAAAAAAAAAAAAACCACGATAAGGGAGACTAAAAATAACACTGACTGATAACAGCTGTACACATGTTTACTATATTAAGCAATCTGGAGAACTTTAGAAAAGTCCCACTAGTAATAAAATGTCATATTCTATACATTTGGATAAAGTCAGCTAATACTTGCCATAGGTTATGTCCACTACAGGTTCAGACTTGTCGTGTTTCACTGTGGATATCACCTCACAGTTGATGTTCGTAGCTCTGGCTTTTTCTGATCCCACCTTGGCGAGAAACTCCCTGTGGGACCAAAAAGAGGGGGTTAAAGGTCACATTTTATAATAAATACACTTTACCATGTTTTTTAACACTAACATGTGTATGTGTCTCTAGTCTTTCTACAAACCCCCATATGATGAGAAAAGTCCATCCGCTCAGTTTTTTGCCTGCTCCACTTTTTCAGAAAATGTGTTCTCAAACAGGTCGTTTTTGAGATTTTCCTTTTGTGACCTCATAAAAGGAGGTAACCCCTCCCCCAGTTGGGTGTCACAGCTAGGTTTGTTCTGCCCTCTGAGTCTGCCTTCTCACCGTAAACAATTGGGCATGGACAGAGAAAGCCCGAGTCACCCACGCCCATCAAGAGGGGCGTGGTCACTGACATTTAAAGCTACAGACACAAAAACAGCCTGTTCTGAATAGGGCTGAAATAGAGGGGTTTAGGGTGCGGTCACACTGGCTATACGTACCGTACAGTGCTGATGCATGATTGCCCCCCGCCGCCCCACAAACCGGGCCTCTTGTAGGCCTCATAACGTCGTAATACAGCACATGCATCATGGCTCTATGTTAGTATGAAGCGTGCTCAGTTTACAAACAGGCGGATTCGAGAAAAAAAATTAAAAAGGGACGCACCTCGTCTGCACATCGGAGAACAAATACGGAGAGCATGACAGCTACTTCATTTTAATCAGATACAGCCATAAATACATTTTAAAAATAAAAGAGACGGTTGATTATTTAGTTGATTAACAGTACTTTTATCAGTTTAAGTGTAAGTGAGTCTGAATCTTTATTTACATTTTTAAAAATCAAATCAAATTCAATCTTTTTATTTAAAATATAGCAGGCTAGCTCACATAATGAGATTGAGAGAAAAAAATCTCTACTGATCATTTCATATATGGAGTAGGCTAGATCAGGGGTTCCCAAACGTTTCAGCCCACGATCCCCAAAATAAAGGTGCCAGAGGTCCCCTAGGGGTGCGCACACACACTAACAAACCTATCCAAGCACTGGCAACACGAAAGATGAACACAAAATAATTTAACAGCCTAAAAGCAATAAAATTCACTTAGCCTAGTAATTTATTGGGGGGGTCTAGAAGCAAAATACAAGTAATTTCCATGTATAGACTTTAGCTCAGAGTGGACAAACAAAACTAAATAGACACAGATATGTGCATCTGTGTGTGTAAGGCATAGATTTGACTTTATGACTATGATTTTATTGTAAATTTGAATAGTTATATAAAAATATATTTTAACATATACGGGTAAAATATGCTTTTTGAAATTATTATATATTATTATATATATTTTTAAAGCTGTGGTTGGGTGTCCCCATAGACTGTATGACTGTATATTATTTACAGTCTTTGGTATACCCACTTCGGGTATCAATGTGCTAGATTGTTATAGGTATATAAAAGAAATTAGACTGAAATTGAAGGCAGGCTAACTGTGTGTCTTGCAGGGAAGAAAATAGAAGACACAAGATGTGTTTGCAGTGTGTGTACTAGCTGCTACACAGAGAAGACTATGGAGGAAGTCCTTACTTCATATGTGTATGTGTCCGACCTCTCCACAAATGCACTCAAACTTAATCATTGTAGTAAAATGAACGTTATGTTTCTTATTAAAATACACCGTAAAGACTAACACATACACCTTATATAGTCTAGATAATGTAAATCACCTGATGGTGACTGGTGGATAAGGTCAATGGTCGACTCATTTTCAAGTCACAGCTTTTATCGACAGTGAAGTGTCGTATAATAAACTCTACACAACAACAAGCCATTTAACGGGCTATTCTTACCGTGTGGACCGAACATTAGACTCAAACGCGGAAAACTGAATCGCTATTTTCTTCACAGTCTTCAATACCACGGTTGCTTTCCTGGACGCCGCCATGTTTTCTGTTGTGACCTCAACTGTGACGGAAGCTTGCGCTTCTCGGATTGGCCCGCAAGAGGGCGCCAGAGGATAACAAAAACTCACTGTGCTGTATAATTCACAGGGAAGTTGAAATAAGGTGCTTAAGTATAATTAAAGAGGTCTAAATAAGTATGAGCATAAAGAATATTTAATTATGTCCATGTCCCTGCTTTTTTAATATATAAATGTTTAATTTTCTGTTATGAAAATAATGATGAATCTGATAATTTAGGTATCATTTATCAAGCATGTTCATGAGTTCCATCTATTTCTAATCAACTACTCAGTTTGTTTTTGGTTTTTCCTAAATAGAGTGCCTCCATTTCTTCCTACACCCGAAGGTAGGACCGATGAATATTTAACATGTTTGATCTTTCTTGTAAACTGCCAATATTCTTCATAATTTGATTTGCATCTTGTACAACTCTTTGACAGGCGGTACCTAGAAAGTATGTGAGGCGAAGCATGAAAAGAACTGGCTGTAAAAAAAAAAGCACAATTTATGTGTAAAAGCATCTCTAATAAGGAAGAGAAAGAAGGCGTTGTCCACACTGAGTGCTGATGTCATTTGTTGGTTTACTAATACTGCAGCTCATCCATGCTCTTTCTGCTATCAAGAGAATGCAATAATATTTTTAATAACACCACTAGTGAGATTTACAGCCTTTATTCAGGTAATCTAAAAATTCAGTCCAGTAAGGTGTTTGTTAACAGCACCACTTGTTCACAAAGACATGACAAAGCTCATTGAAGTAAACTCAAAAGGAAAGTGACTGCAGCACACTCCTGTAATTATCTGACAGACCATGTCACAGAGCAGAATTACTTTAGGGGAGGATGAGTGTGAATGTGTGTGTTTGTGTATGTGTGTGGTGGGGGGATTCTGTCAGGCACTAAGTCAATAAAGAAGGTGCTGCTCTCCAAATAGACAATCAAACAGACACATCTCATAATCAAATAGACAATGATTGGATATTGGGCCCCAGCCTCATCTGCTGAGTGCAGGAAGCAGATGAAAAAGGGTCAAAAGCCTGTAAGGGTATATGACTCAAAAAACAAGTCGGAAATGGAAATGCATTGAAATTTTGACTGTGGTAGCCCTTCTGTCAAATTTGATGACATTGTTTATTGTTCAGGTGAAATGAGTTAGTGTCAGTATGTTGTGGAGGAGTCATCAACATTTTTTTCAGGGGAGGATGGGGAAGATACTGTTCACAGTGGTGTGGTGTGTGTGGTTTTTATAGTAGGTTTAGCAGATGCCGTCAATTTGTTCTCTCAGTATACTTATAAAGTTTAAATTTAATCTCATTAGATGTTCATTTTGAAAAAGACTCCGGAAAGAAAACAAAATCAAAGCATATCAATCAACATAACAAAACACACACACACACACACACACACACACACACACACACATTTATGTTGCTTTGGAGTTCCTCGACCTCTGTTCTGTATTAGCTGGGTATTTTTAGCCACCCTGTTTTAGGGGCGTGTGAAGAACAAATGTGTTATTCTCAGATTGGCCCACAGCAGAGATCATTTACAGTTAATTTCAGCCGCCTTAAGTCTCTTTCCTGATCGGCTGACAGTCCAGCCCTGCATATGACGGTTGGACAGAGACTCTAAATTTAGTCACACAGCTACTGAGAGTCAGAAGCATTTCCTATACACTTCCCTCACACACACACACACACACACACACACACACACACACACACACGCACGCTCGCTCACACACACTTGATAAGTAGTTGTACTTTATTTTCTACATTAAGAAAGCAGGAAAAACGGCTCTCTGGAACAATGAGTCCTCAAGGGGGACTGTTGACCTCAAAGAAAATAGAAGTACTGGTATGATTCTCATTGTTTTCAACTGTACTACAAGCTGTCACTACTGCACCATTGTTGGTGAATAACGTATAAGATCTCATCTAGGCTATTCAAAAAGCTGGGTGACGCAGTTTATGTGTGAAAATAGACAATGGAAAGATTGTAACAATGTATACATGAGAATACCCAATGGGTTTCTTAGGAATAACCGCTGCCTTTACTGTTAAAGTTAAGGTATTTTCCCCCTGGAGAGGAATACAGTATGCCAGGAAAACGCACTGATGGTAGAGGATCCACTCCATTCATTACATCAATGACTTTTCAAGTTTTTCCTTTCAAATCTCAGGGGTCCTAAGGTTGTGCCCAGGAGGGTGAAGAGCAAAGCTTCACAGAATCCCTGACTAGGAGTGATAGAAATGTTAATCTGAATATATCCTTAAATGTGTCTCATAAATAACATCATTAAAAATAAAAAAAGTAATCTGGACTGTTCTGCTCCTGAAGGAAAACTGTTCTGTTTAAAGCTGCTGCTAAGAACCTGTCTGTGTTGTTACAGTATAATCTGCAAAGCTTTTTTCATTAAGTTGAGAAAGTTGTGTTTTCATGGTTAGCAAATTCAATACTTAATAGTAAAATATGTTTATGTTACCAAAAATCATTTAATGGTTTCATTATTACTGTTTTTTTTATGTTTTCTGGTACCTTTGATTTTCTATTTTGTTTTCTTTTTCATCATTCTGTTCATCTACTTCTTCTTATTTTACCCTCAATGTGCTGAGTAAAAAGCCTATGGGCTGAAGAGGCTCAAACTGAAGACTTGAATAGTTCTGCTTTCTGAACACAACTGGCTAATACTGAAAGGAAAGGTTTGATACTGTTGGAGGAAAACACTTTGTATTTTCTTGTGCAGAGTTAGATGACAGGATTGAAACAAATGTCAATCAGCTCAACACGAGCTGAGAAGAAGAAATTATTTTTTATTTGAATGATTCAAAACATAGTGTAGAGTTGAGTTTTGTTGTAAAGGCCTGTAGTTTGTTGACGTTTCCTGTTCAAAAACTGAAAAACAGATTCATATATTTCACATTATGAGTCCATAGGCCTATATAAACTGACTATATTGGTTTGCGCTCATTATTATATTTTTATTTTATTCTGTAGATTTTTTTTTTTATCTTCAAGTGTCTAACTTCTCCCTTAAAGGGTCAAAGAATAAGCCTTACACACACTCTCATTTATTTTCTGTATTTGCTTAATAATCGAATAAAAAAAATATATCAAACAATTCCCTTTACCTTTGGTATTGCAAATTGTATCGATTTCAGTTCGTTAGGCAATAAAATCCTGCTCATTTTGATCCAAGAAGGGCATCTGTCAAGCTTTTTTTTTTTTTTTAACCGTCTTTATTGACAAATTTAACATATACAAAAAATGTTTATACAAATTCTTAAAGAAGATGAACATACAACAGCAAAATACACAGGAACAAGTTAATTCAAACATAAATCAAGACTAGGGGGGATTATATGTAAAAATAAATAAATAAAAATCTAACTTTTCCAAAGCAGACAACAAACTGGAGCAAGGACAAAAAAAATCAAAAAGGGCCAGAAATCAAAACAACAAGAATTTCGATAAGTCAGCACTAATCTTTCCAGCAATCCTGCTAGATTTCATTTTTTTCAGAGATGAGAAAAAATATTTGAAATCATTTATAAAAGAGTCAAAGGAGGTTTGCTGTTTCTCTCCACTTACTACAGTGAATACTGTAGCTTGTCAAGCTTTTTGTTACCATGAACTTCATTTCCCAGGAAGCATTGCGCAGCAGCAGCAGCCGCTCTCCGGCACTCCTCCTCCTCCTCCTTTCAGCAGCGTCCTGGCTGAGCCGAGCCGAGAAGCTCAGAGAGGAGCAGACTGAGATGAACAGCTCCGAGTCTCTGCTGTCCACAAATGTGCGCAGGCTGGAGAAGAAGAAATCACCTTTAGAGACACTTTCACCGCTTCATGCTAGCAGCGTTAGCCGCAGACGAAGAATAAACTGAACTAATCCCAAACAGTTTGAGTGAAAACAGCCACTGACTGAATGCTGGCTTCTGGGTAGTCCTCTTTCTCCGGTAAGCGCTAATTTTACACCTCCTGCGAATTATCCTATTTGTTGTACAATGTGTGTTATTGTTCTGGTTACACTGCTGCAGCGGGCTGAGAATGTGTGTGTGTTTGTTTGTTTGTGTGTGTGTGTGAGTGTGTGTGTGTAACGAGGCAGTGGGAAACTTCAGTGGCGGAGATGTGTGTATTTGGGACTGCGGCAGTTTTCGCAGGGAAGCCAAATTTGAGTAGCGGTGTCAGAGGAGCAGGAACAGGGACTTGTTGCCTTCTACTTAAATATTTCACGTTTCCGGTTAATAATCGTATTAAACGGTGTCTGTCTTTATGCATGGCCGTTAACTTGTTATCTGTTGTGCATTTCAGTCATTAAGCCTGCTGAATTTAATTTTTTTATTATTTTATTTAGGGGGAAACTCAATATTATCCAGGTTTATAAAATACAGCTGTGGCAACAACCTCATAGGCTACCAGGACCACTGAGTCTTAATTTTCTGTATCATCTCCTCCCTCTTGACTACACAGCCCTCTGTTGTTAAGTGTGTACTTAGGCTATTTAAACCAAAAAATAAAGTCATATTTGGTAGCCTATATTTCTTCTCAAACATTTTTTTTTTAAAGGTACACCAAAACATTCATGAGAAACTATTTGATCTACATGACGTCCAATCAGATACGCCTGCACTTGTTGTAGATGCAAATCAACTTCCCCCATAGGGACAGTGACAGATAGACTGGTTTAACTTGCACACGCGCGCCACACACACACATTTTACACTATACTGCATGGACGGTCGTGTTGTGGATATTGCAGAGCCCTCTGGATATCCTTGCACATGCATTAGCAGAACTGTCCCCCTCATTCATTCTGACAAGTACATGGGCTTTTTTTCCCCTTACAGCAATCATTCACACATGAATACACTCATGTCGTTGTATGGTGAAGTAGAGACACACACTGATACAATCATCTTACTCTGTACATGTAAAGAGAAGTTCAAATCTGGTGACATGACTAAAATAAACACTACTTTTTAACACTCTGTCAGCTCTTTTAGACTTCTCTTTCCCCCCCCC